CAATGACAACGCAGAGTGTGCTTTTCAGGTAAGTATTGTGCCGCATCAGCTATTTGGTTTAAAATTGTACAGTAGCATCTCTTGAAGAATCAAACTCTTATCTCAAACAATCAATGACAACGCAGAGTGAGCTTTTCAGGTAAGTATTGTGCTGATTCAGCCATGTGGTTTAAAATTGTAAAGTAGCATCTCTTGTATATTTCAGCAGCATAGAGTTTGTCCACCACCCTAGTTTGGGCAGAATTGATAAAGCTTGTCAATTTCTTTGCGAGAAGGCTGAATGTTCAAAATTTGCTTGTGCGTTGGCTGGGAAAGAAACCCAGGTCTCCAACATGGCAAGCTAGAATTCTACCACTGAAACACCAATGCTTACCTTCAAGTTCAAAAGACTTCTCAGAGTGTGATTTGCAGCTAACCAAACTGCAGAATTGATCAGGCTTTTGAAGTTCTGTGAGTGAAGGATTAATATTCAGAACTCAGTTGTGCATTGTGCAAGGCCTGGTACATGGCATTTGAGAATTCTACCACTAAACCATCAATCCTTTCTTATCTTAAAGAATCAATGACTTTGCAGAGTGTGCTTTTCAGGTAAGTATTGTGCCGCTTCAGTTATTTGGTTTAAAATTGTACAGTAGCATCTCTTGAAGAATCAAACTCTTATCTCAAACAATCAATGACAACGCAGAGTGTGCTTTTCAGGTAAGTATTGTGCCGCTTCAGCTATTTGGTTTAAAATTGTACAGTAGCATCTCTTGAAGAATCAAACTCTTATCTCAAACAATCAATGACAACGCAGAGTGAGCTTTTCAGGTAAGTATTGTGCTGATTCAGCCATGTGGTTTAAAATTGTAAAGTAGCATCTCTTGTATATTTCAGCAGCATGGAGTTTGTCCACCACCCTAGTTTGGGCAGAATTGATAAAGCTTGACAATTTCTTTGCGAGAAGGCTGAATGTTCAAAATTTACTTGTGCGTTGGCTGGGAATCGAACCCAGGTCTCCAACATGGCAAGCTAGAATTCTACCACTGAACCACCAATGCTTGTCTTTAAGTTCAAAGGACTTCACAGAGTGTGATTTGCAGCTAACCATACTGCAGAATTGATAAGTTTAATGAAGTTCTGTGAGTGAAAACTAAATATTCAAGATCCACTTGTGCATTGGCTGGGAATCGAACCCAGGCCTCCAACATTGCAAGCTAGAATTCTACCACTGAACCACCAATGCTTACCTTCAAGCTCAAACGACTTCTCAGAGTGTGATTTGCAGCTAACCAAACTGCAGAATTGATCAGGCTTTTGAAGTTCTGTGAGTGAAGGATTAATATTCAGAACTCAGTTGTGCATTGTGCAAGGCCTGGTACATGGCATTTGAGAATTCTACCACTAAACCATCAATCCTTCCTTATCTTAAAGAATCAATGACTTTGCAGAGTGTGCTTTTCAGGTAAGTATTGTGCCGCTTCAGCTATTTGGTTTAAAATTGTACAGTAGCATCTCTTGAAGAATCAAACTCTTATCTCAAACAATCAATGACAACGCAGAGTGAGCATTTCAGGTAAGTATTGTGCTGATTCAGCCATGTGGTTTAAAATTGTAAAGTAGCATCTCTTGTATATTTCAGCAGCATGGGGTTTGTCCACCACCCTAGTTTGGGCAGAATTGATAAAGCATGTCAATTTCTTTGCCAGAAGGCTCAATGTTCAAAATTCGCAGGCGCAGGTCTCCAACATGAAGCTAGAATTCTACCACTGACCAATGCTTGTCTTTAAGTTCAAAGGACTTCACAGGTGTGATTTGCGCTAACCATACTGCAGAATTGATAAGTTTAATGAAGTTCTGTGAGTGAAGACTAAATATTCAAGATTCACTTGTGCATTGGCTGGGAATTGAACCCAGGTCTCCAACATGGCAAGCTAGAATTCTACCACTGAACCACCAATGGTTACCTTCAAGTTCGAATGATTTCTCAGAGTGTGATTTGCAGCTAACCAATCTGCAGAATTGATCAGGCTTTTGAAGTTCTGTGATTGAAGGATTAATATTCAGAACTCAGTTGTGCATTGTGCAAGCCCTGGTACATGGCATTTGAGAATTCTACCACTAAACCATCAATCCTTCCTTATCTTAAAGAATCAATGACTTGGCAGAGTGTGCTTTTCAGGTAAGTATTGTGCCGCTTCAGCTATTTGGTTTAAAATTGTACAGTAGCATCTCTTGAAGAATCAAACTCTTATCTCAAACAATCAATGACAACGCAGAGTGAGCTTTTCAGTTAAGTATTGTGCTGATTCAGCCATGTGGTTTAAAATTGTAAAGTAGCATCTCTTGTATATTTCAGCAGCATAGAGTTTGTCCACCACCCTAGTTTGGGCAGAATTGATAAAGCTTAGTCAATTCCTTTCGCAGAAGGCTGAATGTTCAAAATTTGCTTGTGCATTGGCTGGGAATCAAACCCAGGTCTCCAACATGGCAAGCTAGAATTCTACCACTGAAACACCAATGCTTACCTTCAAGTTCAAAAGACTTCTCAGAGTGTGATTTGCAGCTAACCAAACTGCAGAATTGATCAGGCTTTTGAAGTTCTGTGAGTGAAGGATTAATATTCAGAACTCAGTTGTGCATTGTGCAAGGCCTGGTACATGGCATTTGAGAATTCTACCACTAAACAATCAATCCTTCCTTATCTTAAAGAATCAATGACTTTGCAGAGTGTGCTTTTCAGGTAAGTATTGTGCCGCTTCAGTTATTTGGTTTAAAATTGTACAGTAGCATCTCTTGAAGAATCAAACTCTTATCTCAAACAATCAATGACAACGAGCAAAAGTCTTTTCGGTAAGTATTGTGCCGCATCAGCTATTTGGTTTAAAATTGTACAGTAGCATCTCTTGAAGAATCAAACTCTTATCTCAAACAAACAATGACAACGCAGAGTGAGCTTTTCAGGTAAGTATTGTGCTGATTCAGCCATGTGGTTTAAAAATTGTAAAGTAGCATCTCTTGTATATTTCAGCAGCATAGAGTTTGTCCACCACCCTAGTTTGGGCAGAATTGATAAAGCTTGTCAATTTCTTTGCGAGAAGGCTGAATGTTCAAAATTTGCTTGTGCGTTGGCTGGGAAAGAAACCCAGGTCTCCAACATGGCAAGCTAGAATTCTACCACTGAAACACCAATGCTTACCTTCAAGTTCAAAAGACTTCTCAGAGTGTGATTTGCAGCTAACCAAACTGCAGAATTGATCAGGCTTTTGAAGTTCTGTGATTGAAGGATTAATATTCAGAACTCAGTTGTGCATTGTGCAAGCCCTGGTACATGGCATTTGAGAATTCTACCACTAAACCATCAATCCTTCCTTATCTTAAAGAATCAATGACTTGGCAGAGTGTGCTTTTCAGGTAAGTATTGTGCCGCTTCAGCTATTTGGTTTAAAATTGTACAGTAGCATCTCTTGAAGAATCAAACTCTTATCTCAAACAATCAATGACAACGCAGAGTGAGCTTTTCAGTTAAGTATTGTGCTGATTCAGCCATGTGGTTTAAAATTGTAAAGTAGCATCTCTTGTATATTTCAGCAGCATAGAGTTTGTCCACCACCCTAGTTTGGGCAGAATTGATAAAGCTTGTCAATTCCTTTGCGAGAAGGCTGAATGTTCAAAATTTGCTTGTGCGATTGGCTGGGAATCAAACCCAGGTCTCCAACATGGCAAGCTAGAATTCTACCACTGAAACACCAATGCTTACCTTCAAGTTCAAAAGACTTCACAGTGTGTGATTTGCAGCTAACCAAACTGCAGAATTGATCAGGCTTTTTGTTCTGTGAGTGAAGGATTAATATTCAGAACTCAGTTGTGCATTGTGCAAGGCCTGGTACATGGCATTTGAGAATTCTACCACTAAACCATCAATCCTTCCTTATCTTAAAGAATCAATGACTTTGCAGAGTGTGCTTTTCAGGTAAGTATTGTGCCGCTTCAGTTATTTGGTTTAAAATTGTACAGTAGCATCTCTTGAAGAATCAAACTCTTATCTCAAACAATCAATGACAACGCAGAGTGTGCTTTTCAGGTAAGTATTGTGCCGCATCAGCTATTTGGTTTAAAATTGTACAGTAGCATCTCTTGAAGAATCAAACTCTTATCTCAAACAATCAATGACAACGCAGAGTGAGCTTTTCAGGTAAGTATTGTGCTGATTCAGCCATGTGGTTTAAAATTGTAAAGTAGCATCTCTTGTATATTTCAGCAGCATGGAGTTTGTCCACCACCCTAGTTTGGGCAGAATTGATAAAGCTTGTCAATTTCTTTGCGAGAAGGCTGAATGTTCAAAAATTTACTTGGGCGCTTGGGGAAGCAAACCCAGGTCTCCAACATGGCAAGCTAGAATTCTACCACTGAAACACCAATGCTTACCTTCAAGTTCAAAAGACTTCTCAGAGTGTGATTTGCAGCTAACCAAACTGCAGAATTGATCAGGCTTTTGAAGTTCTGTGAGTGAAGGATTAATATTCAGAACTCAGTTGTGCATTGTGCAAGGCCTGGTACATGGCATTTGAGAATTCTACCACTAAACCATCAATCCTTTCTTATCTTAAAGAATCAATGACTTTGCAGAGTGTGCTTTTCAGGTAAGTATTGTGCGCTTCAGTTATTTGGTTTAAAATTGTACAGTAGCATCTCTTGAAGAATCAAACTCTTATCTCAAACAATCAATGACAACGCAGTGTGCTTTTCAGGTAAGTATTGTGCCGCTTCAGCTATTTGGTTTAAAATTGTACAGTAGCATCTCTTGAAGAATCAAACTCTTATCTCAAACAATCAATGACAACGAGAGTGAGCTTTTCAGGTAAGTATTGTGCTGATTCAGCCATGTGGTTTAAAAATTGTAAAGTAGCATCTCTTGTATATTTCAGCAGCATGGAGTTTGTCCACCACCCTAGTTTGGGCAGAATTGATAAAGCTTGTCAATTTCTTTGCCAGAAGGCTGAATGTTCAAAATTTACTTGTGCGTTGGCTGGGAATCGAACCCAGGTCTCCAACATGGCAAGCTAGAATTCTACCACTGACCACGGCAAGGCTTCACAGAGTGTGATTTCCCTGAAAGAGAGCTGTGGTAAATAAATATTCAAATCACTTGTGCATTGGTTGGGAATCGAACCCAGGCCTCCAACATTGCAAGCTAGAATTCTACCACTGAACCACCAATGCTTACCTTCAAGCTCAAACGACTTCTCAGAGTGTGATTTGCAGCTAACCAAACTGCAGAATTGATCAGGCTTTTGAAGTTCTGTGAGTGAAGGATTAATATTCAGAACTCAGTTGTGCATTGTGCAAGGCCTGGTACATGGCATTTGAGAATTCTACCACTAAACCATCAATCCTTCCTTATCTTAAAGAATCAATGACTTTGCAGAGTGTGCTTTTCAGGTAAGTATTGTGCCGCTTCAGCTATTTGGTTTAAAATTGTACAGTAGCATCTCTTGAAGAATCAAACTCTTATCTCAAACAATCAATGACAACGCAGAGTGAGCATTTCAGGTAAGTATTGTGCTGATTCAGCCATGTGGTTTAAAATTGTAAAGTAGCATCTCTTGTATATTTCAGCAGCATGGGGTTTGTCCACCACCCTAGTTTGGGCAGAATTGATAAAGCATGTCAATTTCTTTGCCAGAAGGCTCAATGTTCAAAATTCGCTTGTGCTGGGAATCGAACCCAGGTCTCCAACATGGCAAGCTAGAATTCTACCACTGAACCACCAATGCTTGTCTTTAAGTTCAAAGGACTTCACAGAGTGTGATTTGCAGCTAACCATACTGCAGAATTGATAAGTTTAATGAAGTTCTGTGAGTGAAGACTAAATATTCAAGATTCACTTGTGCATTGGCTGGGAATTGAACCCAGGTCTCCAACATGGCAAGCTAGAATTCTACCACTGAACCACCAATGGTTACCTTCAAGTTCGAACGATTTCTCAGAGTGTGATTTGCAGCTAACCAATCTGCAGAATTGATCAGGCTTTTGAAGTTCTGTGATTGAAGGATTAATATTCAGAACTCAGTTGTGCATTGTGCAAGCCCTGGTACATGGCATTTGAGAATTCTACCACTAAACCATCAATCCTTCCTTATCTTAAAGAATCAATGACTTGGCAGAGTGTGCTTTTCAGGTAAGTATTGTGCCGCTTCAGCTATTTGGTTTAAAATTGTACAGTAGCATCTCTTGAAGAATCAAACTCTTATCTCAAACAATCAATGACAACGCAGAGTGAGCTTTTCAGTTAAGTATTGTGCTGATTCAGCCATGTGGTTTAAAATTGTAAAGTAGCATCTCTTGTATATTTCAGCAGCATAGAGTTTGTCCACCACCCTAGTTTGGGCAGAATTGATAAAGCTTGTCAATTCCTTTGCGAGAAGGCTGAATGTTCAAAATTTGCTTGTGCGTTGGCTGGGAATCAAACCCAGGTCTCCAACATGGCAAGCTAGAATTCTACCACTGAAACACCAATGCTTACCTTCAAGTTCAAAAGACTTCTCAGAGTGTGATTTGCAGCTAACCAAACTGCAGAATTGATCAGGCTTTTTAAGTTCTGTGAGTGAAGGATTAATATTCAGAACTCAGTTGTGCATTGTGCAAGGCCTGGTACATGGCATTTGAGAATTCTACCACTAAACAATCAATCCTTCCTTATCTTAAAGAATCAATGACTTTGCAGAGTGTGCTTTTCAGGTAAGTATTGTGCCGCTTCAGCTATTTGGTTTAAAATTGTACAGTAGCATCTCTTGAAGAATCAAACTCTTATCTCAAACAATCAATGACAACGCAGAGTGAGCTTTTCAGGTAAGTATTGTGCCGCAACAGCTATTTGGTTTAAAATTGTACAGTTGCATCTCTTGAAGAATCAAACTCTTATCTCAAACAATCAATGACAACGCAGAGTGAGCTTTTCAGGTAAGTATTGTGCTGATTCAGCCATGTGGTTTAAAATTGTAAAGTAGCATCTCTTGTATATTTCAGCAGCATGGAGTTTGTCCAAAACCCTAGTTTGGGCAGAGTTGATAAAGCATGTCAATTTCTTTGCGAGAAGGCTCAATGTTCAAAATTCACTTGTGCATTGGCTGGGAATTGAACCAAGGCCTCCAACATGGCAAGCTAGAATTCTACCACTGAACCACCAATGCTTGTCTTTAAGTTCAAAGGACTTCACAGAGTGTGATTTGCAGCTAACCATACTGCAGAATTGATAAGTTTAATGAAGTTCTGTGAGTGAAGACTAAATATTCAAGATCCACTTGTGCATTGGCTGGGAATCGAACCCAGGCCTCCAACATGGCAAGCTAGAATTCTACCACTGAACCACCAATGCTTACCTTCAAGCTCAAACGACTTCTCAGAGTGTGATTTACAGCTAACCAAACTGCAGAATTGATCAGGCTTTTGAAGTTCTGTGAGTGAAGGATTAATATTCAGAACTCAGTTGTGCATTGTGCAAGGCCTGGTACATGGCATTTGAGAATTCTACCACTAAACCATCAATCCTTCCTTATCTTAAAGAATCAATGACTTTGCAGAGTGTGCTTTTCAGGTAAGTATTGTGCCGCTTCAGCTATTTGGTTTAAAATTGTACAGTAGCATCTCTTGAAGAATCAAACTCTTATCTCAAACAATCAATGACAACGCAGAGTGAGCTTTTCAGGTAAGTATTGTGCTGATTCAGCCATGTGGTTTAAAATTGTAAAGTAGCATCTCTTGTATATTTCAGCAGCATGGGGTTTGTCCACCACCCTAGTTTGGGCAGAATTGATAAAGCATGTCAATTTCTTTGCCAGAAGGCTCAATGTTCAAAATTCACTTGTGCATTGGCTGGGAATCGAACAGTAATACGTGTAACTGAAATTTTGGAAGTACAATGAT